AAATCTGAATATATTACACACAAAATCTTTAATTAAAACAATAAAACACAATTTTAATATTCTTTACTTATTATTAACAGTAGGTATAGGAACCGGTAGTTTTAGTGGTGGACAACCGGTGAACATACCAAACAGCATACCTCCATTATAAAACCACTCGACAGCAAACATGAATATAATAAGTGTGAGGGGTCGGGGTTTTATAAACTTAATCATAACCCCTCCTAAAATGATACCTATAGCCATGGGTAGTACAGATGTGGTACCAGTGATGAAACTGGCACCGGAACTGGACTGTCTGAACTGAGACTCAATATATTTGGTTTTGTTTATGAAATAACCGCCTAACCCTATATAACGAAAGGCATTCCCGATCGTATGAAACATAAATACACGGTTTGTAGCTAAACGCCTGATCACATTCACAATACCTATAATAATAAATGATTAGCAGTTTTTTAATAATGAGATTCAGTATAATATATTGTAGCGCTTAACAGACCACTGAAACCTTTTAATACACGGTTTGTAGCTAAACGCCTGATCACATTCACAATACCTATAATAATAAATGATTAGCAGTTTTTAAATAATGAGATTCAGTATAATATATTGTAGCGCTTAACAGACCACTGAAACCTTTGATATTGTTTGCATTATCCACGGCCTTAACAGTTGTTGTTTTGAGTTGTTTTGGGAATAAAAACATTGGGAGACTGACTAAGAATAATAGACCGCCTATGACTAGAAAACCAATCCACCATGCTCCTATAAATCTAGGATCTCGCTTAGAAATTCCCGGGTTAACTATAAAATATTTAATTAATTTCTAGTTGTATTTTAATTTTATAGCAATAATCTGATAGTAATGCATACGAAATGGGTTTTCATATAACCGTAGCGATAGTGAGGCCAATATGAAACCCCCGGCCGGACCCACGAGTCTCAGAGCAGATAGAAAGCTCAAATAAAGGGCCGAATTGTTCTTGCTTACATTATCGTCAATATAAGGAAAGCCTATTACGAAATATGCCGTAAATCCCAGTCCCCTAACAAAACTGCAGATCCATAGGAGCACCACCGCCCCCCATACAGTCGAGTGCTTTCCATTGCCGCAGTCGATATCAGTGTGATTGGCCGCACAGAACTCATAACGGGTTTCATTGCGACTCAATTGGGACAGTAAGCTATCGTCGTAGAGTAGGTGTGTACCCGGACCATATATGAAGTATGGCAGTGCGTTCATAAGGCATGACAGGGATAGTATGACTTCACCAATGGCTAACATACGCGGCCTACTGTACCGATTGCCTAAATAACCGATGATTGGACTCAACTTTTGGTTGAGTATAAAAATTAAATTTCATTAATCAGTAATTAATTTTATAATTATATCAAGTTGCAATCTTTATAATAAAAAAAATCTTAAATTAAATACAGTTTTTTATTTTTAAGATAATAAAATTTAGATGCCGATTTTACTGTAGTAATTATTTACATTATGTGATATGCTAGGACAGTATAAGAATATTGTATGTAAATTGACTACAAACTTAATTGAACTGAACAGTATTAACAGTAAATAATTAGTTTATAATAACATTATTATATATTTTGACAAGTTTTTACACTTACTGTTAATTCGACGATATTATCGGCAATTAATATAAATCCCGCGATTTTCGAGTCAAATGCAAACCTTTTCTCGAGTGTACTCATGGTTGCGATCAAATAGGTTCCCGACATACTCTGGATTATACCTATCAGTCCGAAGTTTATGGCGAAAAACAAGGGACTGGCGAATACTTGCAGCCATTTAGGCCTCCACGAGCCCACACCACACGAATACCGGTGCTCATCATCATCGGCATAATCAGACTGGTTATCAAATTCACTACCCTTTGAGGCTTGGTTTAATTGTATATTATTTATAGGCATTATAATTGTTTTTAGTTTTACTACACTGAATGCTACATGAAAATCATTACATTAAAAAATGTATGAATTTTCAACTTAAATATAGTCTATTAAATTATTAATTAAATAATACATGGGCGACTGATTAAATAATAAAATATTAGTTTTATAGCATTTTTCAACATCACTTTTGAATCTGTGCCATAATTTATATCAATTGATTTGTGACAGCAAATATTATGATATAAATAAACATCACTCAAACTTGCACATTATCACATTATCAATATGCACTTGCACATTATCAATATGCCCATCTATGTATAATTGACAATTATACAGTACATAGATGTGCATATTGATAATGTATTATTAATTGACATTAACAAATACCAATATTAGTTCAATAGGGAATGAATATTTTAAGGTTGAGGTTACTTGAATTAAATTAAATTAATAGAAATAAATAGATTTTTTTTGTATATCTATGATCTTTATTTAATTACAATGTATTAAAAATTATTACAAAAATAAATTATATTAATAAATAACATGTCAAATTGTCATTGAATTCTATGGCTA